ATAACAATAGGTAAAGAAAACAACCGTTGTGAAACAATTTATTGGTCCTAGGTCTAAATCCCAGCAAACTCATTCTTGCGTTTTAATATTTCACTGCAGTTATATCTTTCAACCGTGGTGGTATGTGTAAGAGTTTATTATAAAAGTTGAGATTGTTGTTTTTCCCTGACCCTCATTAACCATATATAACCATTCAATTTGAGATGATAATTAGAAGAAATAAATTATTCTTAAAAAACAACTTAAATGATCCAATGTTTATCGAATTGTGTGCATCTTATAATTCATGATTTCTTCATTAACCTATATAATTTGATTCAATCTCAAATTCTTCAAAGTAACGATAATGAATAGATGTCTTCTAAGTATTTCACACAAAACTTGATTTCCTCTTCTTTTTTTTCTAATTTATGCAAACATCAAATTTTGTATGAAAGACTCAGATTGACATCCACTTATCGTCATTGTTTTGAAGAATTTGTGGCATTGAATCAAATTCTATAGGCTAAAGAGAAAATAATAAATTACAAGATGGATGTAATTTGATAAACATTGGATCATCTAAGTTATTTTACAAGAATAATTTAATTTTTCTAATTATTATCTAAAAAATTTATTTAAATGAATGCAAGTTCAATGAGGAGTTAGTGGAACAAGCAATCACATATGATATAACAAACTCACTCACAACATTTATCAACAAAGACATCAAGTAATTAATATAAATTAGGAGAACTTGATAACTAATTATTCCTAGAAGCTATGAAGATGATAAAGTAGAAGGGAGAGTAGAAAGCATGTGTTCACTATGGGAATATTATATGAAAGACTCATAATATTTCCACAATGAACATAAGTTCGCTCTTAGATCCATGTTCACACAAACAACTGCATCAGTGATAAGTAAAAAACCATAACCACTTGTTAGATACAACATCAACAACAACATCAACAACATGCAACAACATTTATCAACAACATATATACCTTTAATTGAAAAAGTTCATGGAAAACAACATGAAAAAAACCGCATGTTAACATAAACTAGCAGTACATTGTAATCCAACAAACGATTAACATAAACTAGCACGTTAACATAATACTACATTTTAATAAATTTATTTTATCAACCTACAAGGTTAGAATGTGATCCAAAAAAGGTTAACTTGCAGTACATTATAATCCAATAAAAATTAAATCAACAACATGTGAAACATAACAAGGTCTTCAATCTTCACGCTTAGTTAAATTCATGCAGTTCTCAAGGTATTCATTCTCAAAGTCTTCATCAGATTCACAATTAGTTACGTCCAAATTCAATAGGTCCTTCACAATAGCCTATACCTTCCTTATCTTTTAAGGTTTAAGATTCTTGAAAAGAATCTTCTTATAGCTTATTCCACGATTCAACAATATTAATGTGCTCCCTAACAGATTTAGCTTCCTTGGCTTTGTTCAACCACAACTCTACCATATCAATAATCTCCTTTGAAGCCTCGACCTTGCGGACAAGTTTTCTCCCACTATTCATGTTGAGAGAAGGATTTGAAATCTGAACATGAAGAGAAACTCAATTTCAAAATAACATACAACAATGAAAAAAATTATAAACTCTCATATAAAAAGAATATCATGTAAAACATAACAATAACATATACAAAAATGGGAGAATAAGGAAGAAGAGGAATACCTTTATGTATGAAGAACAAGATTAAGGCTATACTGTCGAATAAGAAAGCTAATGATGAAGAATAAGAGATAAAATGTACGTTAAGGTTTTGCTGTGAGTGATACGACGATTTTGTCAAGAAGCGAGAGCTCATTCGATTATATATGAGTAAACAATTTCACCACTGTCGTAGTAAAAAATCGTGATAAAAGGTAATGTCTTTCACAACAGTTGACATTAACAATCGTGTTGACATTAACAGTACATTGTAACAAAAAAAGTAGAAAACTGTTGGAGTTAGGATTCAAACCCTGTCACTCCATGAATATATAATCACGGTTAATTGGTTTGATCGTAATGCCAAAGATATATTTTATAGTAGTGACTACCCGTGAATTCCTATTCAAGACTCCCCTTGAATATGATACCCCTCTCAGTTTCTCTCAAGCACTCTCTCAAATATTTGGACAATTACAATATTTTAAGAAAGATGGAACCAATTACAACTCAAAACAAACTATATTCCTCTACATAGGAATGTGACTAGCGAATAGAGTTTAAAAACATAAAACTAAAACAAACAAAAGACTCAACACAACTAAAACATGCTTTGATTGTTTCTCTCATAACGTGAGTCTTTACATGTAGAGCTCTTTGTTAAATAGTAACAAAATCTAGATGCAATACCCATTAGAGTTTGTAGCATTATGTGCGATTGAAGAAAATCCAAAGGCGCAACGAATTTTTCTTCATTAAGTTGATTTGCATTTTTTATTTGATAAATCTTCAACAATCAGATTTGTTCTTTTTATTTCTTTCAAAATAATCTTTCGAGAAAAGTTTCTTTATTCCATAAAGTGCATAAAACAATTAATAAGATTGAACAAGAACGGAAACAAATCTTAAATAGGCGTGAGATTTACTCAACACGTACTGGCTTCTGAATGAGATCTATGACTCGTACTACAATACTCTCGCTAAACTTAATAGCTTAGGAGTACATGAGAGCTACGTCCATACTACAACACTCTCACTAAACTCTAATATAGGAGTACATATGAACTACATCTGTACTACAACACTCTTTATAGATTTAATAATCTATGAGTACGTGTGAGCTACGTCCGTACTAAAACACTATCTCTAGATGCAAATCTACTCCCACTCTAGTATAATGCATGATTAAACATACATGAATTTATCTCAAACCCTTTCCTCTTTTGAAACACATTTAGGTTTATTGCCACATTAGGGTTTCACCATAATTTATCAAATATACATTTTCACATTGTGGGTTCGCAATAGTTTTACAAAACTTGTATTGACACATTCACATTGGTTGTCACATTAGGCCTTCACATTAGTGTTACTAACCATTGAACTCATGTCATAAGTTTACCTTAATAGATTTAAGCACCACTAATTAGGGTGAGACCTAATGGTATCAGGAGCTTCATTAAGGTATAGCTCTCCTCATTAGCTTTCTAACTTATGACCCCTAACGACTCTAGGATTTTTGCATTTTTTGTATGCTTTTTCTTCATCCCAAACCCTTCCCATCATGTTTACTCAATCCAAAAAAAAAAGAAAAGAAACTTAGGTACAAAATTTTATAATACAATACACCAAGGCATCATTTTAACACAATCAACCAATCATAACATATATTCATACAAGCAAAACATGAGATCAACAATCACATACATGATCATGAGTAAACATACAAGTTTATACAATTAACTTAAGCGCTCTATCATACAAGAGACAATTCCTAATCTAAGGTTCATGAATTGTCATCTCTTAGAGGAAATTCCACAAGGTATTATGTCAAATTATAAGGTTCAAGGGAAATCTCATACTCTAAACGCCAAAATACCCAATTATAGAACAATTTACCCCCTTACACTATGTTTGCAACTTTTCTCCACGGAGCATCTAGCAATAACTAAAACTCTCCCTTGCACATTAGTTTTTGCAACCTTTTCATGAATTGAGGATTTTGGAGAAGAAGAGGTTCCTTGATGACTTTTAGAATGGTGAGGGATTTCCTTAGAATACATGTTTTTTCTTGTTTCTCTCTTTCTCTCTCTGTTTCTTGCTTTTCTCTATTTCTCCCTTTACTCCTTCCCTATAATCAAAATTTATTCTTTTTTATTTCCCCTCTAACAGTTTAGTGGCTAAAATTTCAACCTTTAAAAATGAATAAGTGCAACGTCATAGATTCAAATCCACACTCTTATATCCAATGTCTCTGTACAATTAATTATTAAGCTAACTTAACAAGACATCTCTATTCTATTCTACTATATTCTATTTCATCTCGCACCACCATTTTCTTACCATTTGTTTCGTTCCGTTTCATTTTACTACTCCCTCCGTTTTCTATTAGGAAAAAAGGGTGATGCACTGACAATGTACATTTATTTTATTTTACTCTGTTAACCAATGACGACCATGCATCCCGCCAAGTCATACTAAAAATTTTAAATTAATTATATGATATGGCATAATGAAATATTTTTATTGGATGACAGTATAAAATATTTTTACATTGTCAGTGCAGAACAATTAAACACTTTTTATTATAAGTCGTTTTGGAAAAAAAAATTGTACTACAATATGAATTACTTTATATTACCAATAAATAATTAATATTAATTTTTCTATTATACTTTAAAAGTTTATTATTATCTCTCATTTCAATTATGTAAATTTATCTTCTCCATATAATTAATAAACGACAATTTTATATAAATATTCATAATTTATTATTTCCATACAACAATTATTATTATTTTTTTAAATAACCACCTTTTTACATTTATATACCAAAATAACCACTGGTTTAAATAAATGATCAAAATAACCACTTTTTAAAATAAAAAAAATTGAGGGAGATGTTGAACTCTTTGCTGTACCAATCAGAAGAAGTAGGAGATGAAGTATGACTTTTCTTTGTTTCTTTGCTGACTCTCTCATTTGTATCTCTCAAGTCTTATCCTCCACATCGCTGCTCTACACTGCACACCATTTTTTCCAGGACGAATTGAAGGTGGTTTTATTCTTTAATCTCTCTCTAACAGATTTCTAAGATTTATCATCATGCTTTATCATCTATAACAGATTTCTAAGATTTATGTAAGAGAACTTTTGATAACAATTTTCATAAATTTTTTCATAAGGGTGTGTTTGTTTGATGAATTAAATTTACAATCCGGAGAATGTTTTTTGAAATCTTGATATCATAGTTCTGTATAATCTTGGCCCAACATAGATGTTTATATTGATTTAGTGCTTACCTTATCAGAGCTTTTCTGCAGGAAACAAAATAATGATAATGGTTGAGTCAGTTGTGTCCTTTACAATTGAAAGGCTCGCTGACCTCCTAATTGAAGAGGCCAGTTTGTTACGCGGCGTAAGTGGCCAAATCAAAAAATTACAGACTGAACTAAAGAGGATGCAATGCTTCTTAAGAGACGCCGAGAGAAAGCAAAATGAACGTGGTGAGATTATAAAGAATTGGATATCAGATATCAGAAAATTATCTTATGATGCAGAGGATGTGATTGAAAGTTATGCCTTCAGCGTTTCAGTTTCGAGCGCAATGATTTCTTTCTCTAAACTAAAACATGTTCACGAGGTTGGAAAAAAGATTTTATCTATTAACTATCAAGTAGCTGACCTTACAAGAAGTTTACAAACCTATGGTTTGACTGCAACAACAAGAGACAATGAAGAATCACACTTTGTGTTCGAGACACAAAAGCAATTGCGATGGTCTTATTCTCATGCAGTTGAAGAGTTCATCGTAGGGTTGGACGCGGACATAAAGGATATAGTGGAATGGCTAGTAAATCAAGATCGAAATTGTCGAGTGGTTTATATTTGCGGAATGGGCGGTCTAGGTAAAACAACACTTGCTAAAACTGTTTATCACTATAATTCCATTAGGCGGCATTTTGAGGGTTTTGCTTGGGCTTACATATCTCAGAAATGCAACAGAAGAGAGGTTTGGGAGGGTATTTTACTTCAGCTTACTACTTCTTCTTCCAAAGAAGAGAGGGATGAGATTCGGAACATGAGAGACGAAGAACTCGCTGAAACGCTGTACAAAGTTCAACAAGAGAAAAAGTGTTTGATCGTCTTGGATGACATATGGAGCAATGAGACTTGGGATATTTTAAGCCCAGCTTTACCGTCGGAAAATACAAAGAGTAAGATAGTTTTTACATCACGCAATAAATCAATCTCGTCGCATGTGGATCCCAAAGGCCTGCTTCATGAACCAGGGTTCTTAAATGCAGAAGATAGTTGGGCGTTGTTTCAGAAGAAAACTTTTCCGTCAAAAGATGATCCAGGTAGTTCACTTGTATCTTCATATATTTTTCATTTATAAACAAAAAGTAGCTGTAGAAAGTAATGGTTAAGGGTAGCAACATTTGTTTAGTATAACCATTAATTGATTTGAGAACAAGAAACATGACAAATTATGTTTTTTGCTAAACTTGTATGCAAGATTGTCAAGATCGGGACCTTGCATAAGATCCGGAAAAGATAGTAAGATCGTAAAACATAAAATCATAACTAAGATTGGAAGATCCTACCAATTATTTTTGTTAGATCGGGATGGGGGAAGCAAGATCGTAAACCACAAAATCCTAACAAAAATTGTATGATATTACTAAAATGGAAGGTTTTTACATGATATTTTGGTAGGTAAAGGTATTCGTGGGAATATGGCTTCTGCCGAACCGCAATTGTTGCGCTCCGGTATCTGGTCATCCTTCTCGGCCTATAATGGTGGTGGCCGGAAAACAGCCAATCATGTCCTGAAACGGCCAAGATTGCAGATAATCAATGGATTTATAATTTTTTTTTTCACAATTTGGCTACAACATACGATTTTAAGACCAGGACCATTTGAGGTGAGTGAGATTGCAAAATCGTAAGATTTTGACAACCTTGCTTATGGAAACATGACAATCTATCAACACTTTATGTTTATTGTTTGCATGCAATTCTTGGAGTAGTTCATGTATACTTGTTTCTAGTACTGTTTTTCATTTAACTTGAATATTATCATATACCTTTTGCAGAATTCACAATCTGCAATGAGTTTGAAAGATTAGGCAGAGATATGGTTGCAAAATGTTCTGGCCTGCCTTTGGCTATCATTGTTCTTGGAGGTCTTTTGGCTACAAAGGAAACAGTCAATGAATGGGAGATGATACATAAACATATAACCTCATACCTAATAAGAGGAGAAGATGTACTTGAAAGGCAATCGAGAATAACCGAGGTTTTGGACTTGAGTTACCATGACTTGCCTTATCAACTGAAACCGTGTTTTCTCTATTTAAGTCAATTTCCAGAAGACTTTGAGATACCAAAAAATAAGTTAATTCAGTTGTGGATGGCAGAAGGTTTTGTTTCATCTCATTACGAGATTGGAAGGGATGAAACAATGGAAGATATCGCCGAGCGTTACCTAGGTAGCTTGATTAGCCGTTGCATGGTACAAGTTGGTCAGATAGGGTCGACCGGAAAGATTAAGACTTTCCGACTGCATGATTTAATGCGCGATATGTGTTTGTCAAAGGCTAGAAAGGAACATTTTCTCTGTGTTATCGGTAGACCGCAACAAAAGAGTAGTGGCATTAGTAATGTATCATCATCATCGAATATATCATTTGATGCAAGAAAAAGCGATGAAGTACGTCGGCTAGCTTTTTTCTTGGATCAACATGTTGATAACTTGAGTCCACCTGATGAGCAAGTGAATCAACACCTCAGATCACTTGTATATTTCCATGATAAGAAATGCAGAGTTGAAAGCTGGAAGCGAGTTAAAGCTGTTTTTGAGAACTTCAAACTACTTAGAGTTCTTGATCTCGAAGGAGTTAAGGGACCAAAGGGACAAATCTTGCCTAAAGAAGTTGGAAATCTCTTTTGGTTGAAGTTTTTGAGTCTGAAAAGAACTTGTATACAAATTCTTCCACCATCATTAGGCAAATTGGAAAATCTGCAGAGCCTAAATTTGCAAACTATCAATAAAGTAAGTTGGGATTCAACCGTAGAAATTCCTAACATTCTATGGAAGTTGAAACGTTTGAGACATTTATATCTTCCAAATTGGTGTGAAAATGTTTCTGGCATCCTTCAACTTGAAAATCTGATCAACTTACGGACACTAGTAAACTTTCCGGCTAGTAGATGTGATGTAAAAGATTTGTTAAAACTGAAAAAGCTCAAAAAGTTAGTACTGAACGATCCAAGATACTTTCAGAACTTCGCCGAAAGTTTCAGTTTATGTAACAAAAAGCTGGAATACCTGGAATCACTGTCCTTAAAAACCGATTTGCTTTCATTCCCTGATCAAGTGATTGATGTCGAAAAGTTGGTGTTAGGCTGTCCTTCACTTCACAAACTGCATGTAGAAGGGAGACTGGAAAGGCTTCCCGATGCTCGATTATTTCCTCCACAACTTTCGAAGCTAACTTTATCGGGTTGTAAGCTTGTTGAAGATCCAATGGTAACATTGGAAAAGCTTCCTAATTTGAAGTACCTAAGTGTTTGGGAAATGTTTGTTGGAAAGAAAATGGTCTGTTCGTCGAATGGTTTTCCTAAACTGAAAATTCTAGCGATCCGCGGCTTTTCGAATTTAGAAGAGTGGGTGGTAGAGGATCAATCCATGCCTTGTCTCTACAGATTGAGTATATCTGATTGCAACAAGTTGAAGAGTGTTCCTGATGGACTAAAATTTGTTGATGGTTTGAGGGAGTTAGAGATCAGATGGATGCCGAAATCGTTCAAGAATAGGCTTGGAGTTGCTGGAGAGGATTACCACAAAGTCCAACATGTTCCATCTGTTGTGTTTTTCAACTAGACATGCAATTTGGAATTATCAAATACCAGGTACAAGAAGCACGGACATGCCCGACACTGACACGACGACACAGGTCTCAGGTCTACGAACTTGTTGATATTGTTGATTATAGATGGCATTCTCCTAACTTTTAGAATCTTTTTATGGCATGTTTGGTGAATGTGAAGTTACTTTGTTTGAAATTTTGCATACACTAAAATTTTCTCTTACAAATTTCTGCAGTTCATTTGCAGTCAGGAAGCAGATGTCATATCATTCTTTCATAGAAGATTGAGTTTAACGTTTTGAACTTTCATAGAATCTTACTTAAAATCTCATACTTTTTGACAAATCAACTACAATACAATATTTTTAATTTTTATTTCCTTCTCTTTATTATTTTTTCCCTCCCTTCATTAAAATCTCACTTCCTACTCTATAGTTTGTAGAACAAATTAATGCCTTTGTGTTGTCTTTGATATATGGAGAAGAAAAATATTACTTTAGTTCAGATATCTCATGTAGATCTGATGAAGATTTAAAAAATACATGGAGAATAGTTTACCTCTTAAATTTTGAATGATATTAAATGTGCAAGCATAATGGAAAATTAAAGTACTTGGAAAAAATATCATAATTGCAATTGTTATTGTTAAATTTGCTACAAATTTCTAGAGAGTTCTTAAATATAATATGTAACAAAATATAGAACATCCTAGAAACTATAAGGTGTATGAATATGGTAGAATAATCTAGATATATAAGTATATGGCAAAGATAGAAAAATCTAGATTTATCATGATAGTAACCTATCATGAGAACTCTAGAATATTCACCATTATTGAAAGGTTGGTGACTTGAGCCTATAAATAGGCATTTGCTACATTGTAAACGATTATCCAAGAAATTAATCAAAAAACCTTCTTTCTAAACTACTCTCTAAAACTATCTTCTACCAACTATCATCTAAACAATTTTTAATAGTGGCATCAGAGCTACGTTCGGTCATACATTGGGCGTAATTATACTAATACCTACCATTTCAAAATCCTCCAAACTACTTCAAAATATTCCCCTTATACTATTAACCCACTACAATATTTTTTCTAAGCCATGGATAACACTACTCAATCATCAACTATTTGTGTCCCTATTTTCAATGGTGAAAATTATGATTTCTGGCGTGTTAAAATGGAGACATATTTTTCATCTCAAGATTTATGGGACATAGTAGAAGAAGGCTTCATCGCTCCCATAGATACTTCAGCTCTAAATGCAGCTCAAGAAAAAGAGTTAAAGAAAAATAAACAGAAAAATTCAAAGGCATTGTTCACCTTGCAACAAGCGGTGACTGATGCAATTTTTCCAAGAATTATGGGAGCTAAGACTGCAAAAGAAGCGTGGAAGACGTTGCAGGAGGAGTTTCAAGGAAATGACAAGGTACGTGCTGTCAAACTTCAATCTCTAAGAAGAGATTTTGAACTATTGAAGATGAAGGAGTCTGAGACAGTTAAAGATTACTATTCTAAAGTTAAAGAAATAGTTAATCAAATGAGAGCTTTTGGGGAGGATATTCTTGACAAGAAAATTGTTGAGAAAATTCTAATTACTATGCCCCCAAAATTTGACCCAATCGTGACAACAATAGAGGAAACCAAAGATCTGTCTACTCTATCAGTGACAGAACTAGTGGGCTCTCTTGAAGCATATGAGCAAAGACTACATAGGCATAAAGAAGATACACTTGAAAATGCCTTTCAGTCAAAGCTCAAATTTAAGTCCCAAAATAAAGAAAATGGAGGAAAGAAAAATTATGGTGAAACTTCCAAAAGAAGAGAAGTTCCTAGAAATTTCCAAAAGAACAATCCAGATAAAAATATTCCATGCAATATATGCAAACGACTAGGCCACGCGGAGAAAAGTTGTTGGTACCGTAATATGCCACAATGCAATCATTGCAAGAAATTCGGGCACATAGAGAAACACTGTCGCAACAAAAATAGGCATCAAGCTAATATCGCAGAGGAGCATGATCAAGAACAATGTATGTTCTATGCCACTCAAGAATCAATCAAAGAAAAAGGAGGAAGTTGGTACTTGGATAGTGGATGTAGCAATCACATGGCCAAGGATGAGACTATTTTCAAAAGCATTGATGAGTCAGTCAAAGTCAAAGTTCGACTAGGAAATGGAAGTGTGGTTGAGTCAAAAGGAAAAGGCACCGTCGTGGTAGAGACAGATAAAGGTACGCGACTCATCCATGATGTCTTACTAGTTCCCAGCCTAAAAGAAAGTCTTCTAAGCATTGGGCAAATGATGGAGAGAGGCTACACACTTCACTTTGAAGGAGGTGTATGCAAAATCTTAGACAACAAGAATAAAAGGGTCGAGATAGCCGAAGTGAAGATGAATAAGAGCAATAGAAGCTTCTCGCTAAATTTAAAATATACAACTAACATTGCCATGAAGGTACAAGTTGATGATTCATGGCTTTGGCATCGAAGATTTGGCCACTTCAACACACATGCCTTGAAGTTGTTACATGATAAGAACATGATGAGAGATCTTCCAAGCATAAAGGATAACAATGAAGTGTGTGAAGGATGTCTCCTTGGTAAGCAACACCGATTTCCATTCTCAACAAGCGGAGCATGGAGAGCAAAAGATCTGTTGGAGCTGATAGATACTGACGTCTGTGGACCGATGAGGACGCCATCACACGAGAACAACAGGTACTTCATACTCTTCATTGATGACTTCTCTAGAATGACATGGGTCTATTTCTTGAAAGAAAAATCAGAAGTTTTTGGAGTATTCAAAAGGTTCAAGGCCCTTGTTGAAAATCAAAGTGGAAAGCGGATAAAAGTACTAAGAAGTGATCGCGGCAAAGAGTACACATCCCGCGAGTTTGATAGATTTTGTGAGGATGAGGGCATAGAGCGATAACTTACAGTCGCATATTCTCCTCAGCAAAATGGTGTGTCTGAGAGAAAGAATCGCACAGTTATGGAGATGGCTAGATCGATGCTCAAAGAGAAGCGACTAACTAACACATTCTGGGCTGAAGCAGTCTACACTGCTGTTTACTTACTCAACAGATGTCCAACTAAATCTGTACAAGATAAGACTCCAATTGAGGCTTGGAACGGGAAGAAGCCATCAGCAAAGCACCTAAGGATCTTTGGATCTATATGCTACATTCATATTCCAGACGTGAAGAGGCATAAGCTTGAAGACAAGACTATACGAGGTATCTTCTTGGGGTATAGTACAATATCTAAAGGCTATCGTGTATATAACTTGCAAACAAAAAAACTCATCATCAGTCGAGATGTTGAAGTTGATGAGAATGCTTCTTGGAATTGGGATGAAGAAAAAGTGGAGAAGAATGTTCTTATACCCACTCAACTACCTCAAGAAGAAGCTGAGGAAGAAGTCCTAGGTGAACCTTCTTCACCTCCACCACAACAACAAGCTCAAGAACTATCATCACCAGAGTCTACTCCAAGACGAGTAAGATCTTTGAGAGACATATATGAAACCTGCAACATGGCCATACTCGAACCTGGAAGCTTTGAAGAAGCATCAAAGCATGAAGTATGGGTCAAGGCAATGGAAGAAGAGATAAAGATGATCGAGAAAAATAACACATGGGAGTTAGTAAATCGTCCCCATGGAAAAGATATCATTGGGGTTAAGTGGGTCTATAAGACAAAGCTCAATCCTGATGGCACCATACAGAAACATAAGGCGAGACTAGTAGCTAAGGGTTACTCACAACAACCTGGGATTGACTACAATGAGACATTTGCACCAGTAGCTCGTCTTGATACCATTAGAGCTCTAATAGCTCTTGTGGCACAAAAAGGTTGGAGTATACATCAACTGGATGTCAAATCTGCCTTCCTCAATGGTGTACTTGAAGAAGAGATCTATGTGGAGCAGCCACAAGGATTCATATCTGAAGGCGAAGAGAGCAAAGTGTTAAGACTAAGAAAAGCACTATACGGTTTGAAGCAAGCTCCTCGAGCATGGTATAGCAGAATCGATCAATATTTCATGGATCAAGGATTTAGGAGAAGCAAGAGTGAGCCCACACTATACATCAAGTCTCAAGGTCAGTACACTCTCTTACTCTCTCTATATGTAGATGACCTTATCTACACGGGAAACAATACTAAGATGATAAAGGAGTTCAAAGAAGACATGATGAAGACCTTTGAGATGACCGACCTTGGTTTGATGAGTTACTTCCTCGGTATAGAGGTAAGCCAAAGAAATGAAGGGATATTCATCTCACAAAAGAAATACACAGAAGGCTTACTTAAGAAATTCAAGATGTACGGTTGCAAACCTGTCGCTACCCCACTCATAACAAATGAGAAACTAAAAAAGAATGATGGAGCACCAGAAGCTGATGCATCCAAATATCGAAGTTTAATTGGAAGCCTCCTATATTTGACAGCTACGCGGCCAGACATAATGTATGCTACAAGTCTTCTATCAAGATTCATGCAAAGTCCAAGTCAAATACACTTTGGAGCGGGAAAAAGAATTTTGAGATATCTACAAGGAACAAAAGAGTTAGGTATATGGTACTCTACCGAAACTAACTCAGGATTACTTGGCTACACAGATAGTGATTGGGCAGGTTCGGTAGATGACATGAAGAGCACCTCTGGTTATGCTTTCTCACTCGGATCAGGAATTTTCTCTTGGGCGTCGAAGAAGCAAGCTACGGTTGCACAATCCACAGCAGAAGCAGAGTACGTGGCAGCTGCTGAAGCAACGAGTCAGGCTATATGGCTTCGTAGGATACTTGAAGACATGGGAGAAATCCAGGATCAGCCAACTAAAATCAATTGCGACAACAAATCAGCAATTGCAATGGCAAAGAATCCAGTGCATCACAGTAGAACAAAACATATAGCAATCAAGTATCACTTTATAAGAGAAGCTGAAGCAACTAAAGAGATCAAACTCGACTACTGTAGAACAGAAGATCAAATTGCAGACATATT